CTGAATAGGAGGCGACAATCGTGATGAGCGCGGGCACCTTTCCCTTCGCACGTGGACATGTGACGGAGAGAGCGTAGCGGCCGCTTCGGGGAAGGTGATAGACGATGCCTGTTTCCCTGAAGTTTGTTGCAGCGTGCACACCACCAATTTTGCGGTCCGTGTCGTCGTACAGGTACATGCCCATATAGTCCTGGGCCATGGCATCGCCGCCAGTCGCACTGGAATACGGCTTTTCCTGATGCATCAGTATGTGGACGTCGGTTTCTTGGTCAACATAGAAGTCCACACGATCCTTTTCCTTTTGCTCCAACTCCACGTGTCCCTCAGCAGGATGGTCCCAATCCATCTCGGGAACGCTAAGCTTTTTGATCGTGAGACTGCTGTACTCTTCCCCAACCATGCGATACAGGGCAATGGTGAATTTTGATTCAGATCCCTTTGACATGCATGAGGGCACAAGATAACATAGAGAATTAGGGGGAACCGTAATGGCATTCGCCACCTCACGAGAATTCAGAAACAAGCTCTTGTAAATGGGCTTGTGGTTGTTGCCAGTGACGATATGGGTGGGTATTGCATTGGCACTTGTATTTTGAACCATAACCACACCACACTGAAGGTATTGCAACTGCTCATCAGGGGAAGTAAAGCGTCGCTGATCCTCTTGTTTGACCATCACCACGAGCCGCAGTGGGTTTTTTCCAGTGTTTCTGACACTATATAGGGGATTTTTGCGCCATGTAACACATGTGGGGTTACCGCCTGCGGTCTCACCTTTCCATTCGTCATCAAAGTATGTGGCATCGCCATCTATCGTGGAAACATAGCACAGTTGCATGGAATTAATAATCTTCAGAAATGTGCTGAGTGGAAGAAAGAGGGAGCGTTCATCGTCCACACCGTATTTGGCGCGTAACTTTGGCGTCCAGTGTGAATCCTTGCTGTTCAGGGGACCTGTGTAGATGAACTCCTCATCCTCGAAGGGATTGTGCAAATGGATAACAATGTCGTTCACAGACGATGTACCTGTCATCGAAAAGATCTCGAGCACACCATACTGCTGCTCGCGCTGAATACCCATACTCTCAGTCTCCATGTCCTTGGTTAATACAGAGGCCACGAACTGTCCGGATTGAATCTTCAGCGCCAAATCCAGCCAGTAGTGGCCCTCCGTTACGTCCGCTCCAGCGGCCTTGGCAAGCTTCGCGTCAATGGGGATGTTGAGCACGGGATTGCCAGTCAGGTCGTGGTACGTCTCCTGCAGTGTGCAGCCCTCAAGATTCTCGTAGCCGGTATAAAACTTTGCATAGGCCTTTTCAAGGAGCAGGGGCCACCAGTGCCCCGTGGGCGAGCGAATGTAAAGCTCCCCATCCTCCTCCAGTGGGATTTGGTCGTCAATCTCCACCTTCACCCACTCCCTGCCACGAAAAAACTGGAACGTGTAACGCCCGTCACGTCGAACGTGCTTGGAGACGAAGCAGTTCTGGATTACGCTGGGGAAACGCACCAGAGTGGACAGGGCTGTGAGCATGAAGCATTCGTAGTGATTGCCCTGTCCGAACTGCTCACGGGAAAATTCCGCTGGAAGGAGAGGCTGGCTGATGCCGTCTGAGTACAGTTCGGCAATGCGAACCCACTGGTCGGAGATATGCTTGTTTTTTTCCATGAAGACGGTGTCATGGAACACCTTGTCGCTGTCGGGGATTTCTTCAATGGTGTGATGACTCATTTGGGAATTCTTTAGTAGTGAATTCTGTAGTAAACGTTGAAAGAACGAATTCTCCTATTTTCCTTTTTTGTTATGTTGTTTGTTCTGTTTTTAATATATTTCTTTCTTTTATCCCTGAATGTATATAATTTCTGCTGCTTCAATGTTCACTGTATTTTTTCAGTTGGATGTGGGAAGTGTGATTCCAGTTTTCGTGCTTTTGCACTTAATACTGTTTCGTGTCACGTGTGACGCCTGTAGGTCGCAACACAATTTTCTCGATATATAGATATATACTTATATATGTTTTTCTTCTCTTGCGTGTTCCGGTGTGAATCGTTACTTCTCCCTTTGGTGGGACGGCAGTGGAGTATATTCTGCAAATTGTTGAAAAGAAATAATTGAAAAGAAGAAAAAAAAAAAAAAAAAAAAAAAGCCGAAAAATAAAATAGAATGAAATATGATTTAATGGGTAAATAAACAAAGGGGAAAAAAAAAAAAAAAAAAAAAAAAACACGGTTGTGTGCAATAGAGGAAAAACCGTCACAATTTTTTGTTAATTGTGTGTGATTGGGTGAATTAGTAGGAATAAAAAAAAAAAAAAAAAAAAAAAAGGAGATCTCAGAGTACTGCGGCAGTGCCATGGCGGGAGAGAAGCGTGAGAAGGGCATGTCAATAACTATGAATTCATACCGCCGTTATTTCCCCCAAGTTTTCATCACGTTTGGTATATATATTTATATCTATATATTTACATTTCTTCTCCACTCAAGTAAGTATCGTTTTTTTTTTCTTTCTTTTATTTATATTTTTTTTTTTGCTCTTCTTCTGCTTGCACTGCTGTTGCTTACTGTTCTCGCGCCGCGAGTGTTTGCGGGCCTGCCATTTCGCTACGAAACCCCAACGTTTGAGAAGTACCCGCCGTTGTGTATTCTCCCCTGTGCCCGTCTTCGCCCCTCCCCGCTGCCCCAGCCACCGCACTCAATGCACGGAGGTGTTTGGTGTCCGCAAGACGCACACGCGCGACGCTGTCCCCGATGCGCAGCTTGCAGGGGCATAATTCCACTCCTGCGGTGGACGCTCCGCATCGACGCACGCAGCTTCCCTTGTTTTCAGCCACACGCAAACACACACCAGACACATACGCAATGGCTGCAGCAATTACGGGCCCAAAGACACAAAGAAAAAAAAAAAAAATGGAAACCAAATAGGAAACCATAAAACGGATGCGCCAAAAACAATTACACGCGGAAAAAACAAAACAAAAAAGGCTCTTGAGGCATCAAAACCACTCACTCGGTTAATTCTTTTTTCTTTGTCCTCTTCTCTTGCTTCGCACTTCAAGACGGTGTGTGTTTGTGCGTGTCCAGGTGTGCAAAAGTGATTGCATGCGTCGCATGATAATCCCATCAATATAAATCCTCCTGCAGGCAAGCTCCCCATGAATGCCTGACATGAGTGCATGCGTCCACAGTTACGCACCCCCCTCATTACACGCATATGATGCAAGCACGTGTGTGTGCTGGGCAAGACTGAGAGAGCCGCTTGGTACAAAGTCAGAATGATACAAAACAAAACAAAACAACAACAACAAAACACGACACACACAATAATAATAATAATAATAATAATAATAATAATAATAATAATACACACAAAATTTAGTTTCATCATTTAAATGACCCCCCCGTAGAATTCATCTCCTCCTCCCTCTCACACACTCTCACCAATACATAAGCGTACCCCTGGCTCGCACCGGCGCACATCTATTGCAAACCAACAGCGGGAAATTCAAAGAAAAAAACTATACGGAAGTTTATAAAAAGCTAAACATAAAGCTCACGTGGCTGGCAAAGGTAGCAGAATAACCATCATGGATGGCATGGTCA